AAAACAACTTGGAACGAGGTTCTGGTTCTGCTTTAGCTTCGTACAGAGCAAATAGCAAAGAGATTGATCCGCAGGGGAATGTTTCCTCTGCGTTAAGTCGCCTGGGGTTAAGGGTCCTGCTCAGGGACCCAGAGTTGCAGTCTGGGTTTGGAACCAGCGGCCTCTCCAGCACACAATCACCCAGCTCTCTAACTAGACCCCCCTCCCCCAAACATTCAACCAAAGGTGGGAAACAATGAGTGTTAGATGAGCTTCAGGTAAAAACAATAAATGACTGAAAAAGGGTCAGCCGCCAACATTAAGGGAAATTTGTAGGAAATCCTGCAGATGAAGAGAAGAAGGACTGGGAAAAAAGTTCTGTTTCCCATCCTAACTTTGGCTTCATGAGGATGAAGCAGGGAAATAAAAAAGGTTCCTCCAAGGTTGCAGAGTCAGAAGCGTCCATTCCTTCCTCTATTTCAATTAAAGTCTTCAAATTGATTTCAGTTAAAATAATTTGATTAAATCTGAAGGTTGATGAATCTTCAGAATGAAACTGAAATAACTGATGTTGTTGTTTTAAGGCGATGTCGAGTCATTGGATGCAGGCTTGGAAACGGGTCAGATTCTACATAAACCACAGAAAGCGGGACGGGACCCCGCAGGAGGTCCAGGTTGGCTGAGCTTCATGGGACTGTGGGCATCTCTGACTCCAACATGGTCACTGGGTGAAGGTCTGATCCGGACCGCCCTCCAGGGTGGTCAGCTCGCTCACCTGCATGCACATGTTGGTTCTGCCTTTGTCCTCCGGGCTGAACATCCCGTTGCCTCTAGATACAGCCTTCTTTTGTTTCCAGATCCAGAGAAAGCCCAGAGCCAGGACCAAGAGGCAGACGACCAGCAGGAAGGTTACCGCCACCAGCTCGCTGTAGTAGCTCCTCTGGTTTGGAGTGCTCTGGCTGGGGTTCAGCATGGACCGGCTGTCCGTCCTGGAGGTCGGGGCAGGCTCCTCAGATCCAGAACCATCATGAGTGGAGTGGGTTTTTCTTGAGAAGGTTTCGCCTTTAGCTACAGTCACTCGCTCCTCTATATCTGCTTCAAGGATGTTCTTTGGTTCAGAAACTTCTCCATCTTTTGTAGTTGTTTCATTGTTGTGTCCGTCTGAAACGGTTGGTTCTTCGGTTCCGATGTTCTCATCCCCTGGGCTCTGTGATGCCAACGTCTCTGTGACTGGCTTGGGCAGATGGCGTGGACTGTATGCCTCTCGGACCGTGTAGATCACGACCAGCTCTCTGAGCCCGTCCTCCTTTGCCTGGCAGCGGTACCCCCCAAATCTCATGGGGGAGGCGAAGAACATGAGGCTGCCGTCAGCTCTCATTTGAGGGAATTCCGATGGCAGAGCTCTGGTTCCAGAGAAGCTCCAACTCAGTGTGGCCAGGTTAGACGGTTTGGGACAGTCCAGCTTCACCAGCTCATTCAGCCGAACAACGACTTCTGCAGGAGGAAACCATGGAGCGGGAAATCGGTCTAAATTTGGTTGGGAAATTTGCCCTAAAAAGTTTCATATACAATAAAGGACGTCTTTACCTTGTTTCATCACGTGCTCATCGGATGGCTGACATTCGGTTCCAACTATGTCGCCCTCCACCTTCTGAATTCTGAGTAGATAAAAATAGGCAAAAACTACATTATCCTAGGCCTAAACAGTCAACCTCACCTCAAAAATTTTCATTCTTGTTTTACTATTTTTCTCCATGATAAATTTGAACCCTGAAACTGCTGGAATGCCACGAAATGCTGGTTGCTTCTGCATTTGCCAAAATTAACTCTCTCCTGGTGAAAGTTGAGTCCAAATGGAGAAGTTCTGGTTGGATGATGGATGGATTCCAACCTTCAGTTGGTTTTCACTCACATGTCTGTACTGCTGCCATCCAGAGCTGTGCAGGTTCTCCTGGTCTGACTCCAGCCACACAGAGGATCTCTGGCCAGGAGGCACTGGCTGCAGCTTCTGTAGACCGAACACCGGGCCACCGGTACAGCCGTCACTCCTTCAGACGTTCCCACATACAGAACCCGCTGCCAAACCAGAACAACACTGTGAATGGACAGAACCGGCAGCCTCTCTCACATTTAGATGATTTGCTTTGATGTTTACCTTGGAGGAGGAGATTATCATGCTTTTGACCTGTTGAGGTTCCTTGAAGACTTGAATCTCCTCAATCACTCGGGGACCCTGGTCCAAGGAAACTACTTTGTGGAGGAATCCAGACTCTGGTTTGAAAGAAGACATGAAAAAATTCAGGATAAAAGGATACTGCTAACGTCTTTTAGACGTTTCGCATTAGTTTATCCAATGAGGGGGAAAAAACATTAGGAGTAAACTTCCTCATTCCACATTAACCTCTGCGAAATAAACAAAGGAAACAGACTAGTTTTACAGAGAGTTTAGTGTCTGACCTGTCAGAAGGAACAGGATATTGAACTGTTTTCCGTTGGCTGCCTGTGTCGTCATTACCACCATTCGACTGTATTTCTGCTCAGGGAAAACCAGAACCTTCTCAGCTGGGTGTACATCCTCGTTGGTCAGGAAACTCTTTTTCACCTCTGAGAGTTCAGCATCCGAAGCGTTTGACAGGCCACACTGGGAGGAGAACAATGAGGAGTTAAAGGGGGAGAGATGGAGGGACAGAGAGAAAATAAAGGTGGGCCGAGTCTTCCACCCTGAGGGACTCCATTTTAAAGTTCCTGTTAATTTACATTAGCAGCCATTCAAAATGGCCCTTCCCAGCCAAGGACCAGCAGAGGGACAGCCAAGGACCAGCCAAGGGACAGCCAAGGACCAGCCAAGGACCAGCCAAGGGCCAGCCAAGGGCCAGGCAAGGACCAGCCAATGACCAGCCAAGGGCCAGCCAAGAACCAGCCAAGAACCAACCAAGGGCCAGCCAAGATGCAGCCAAGAACCAGCCAAGGTCCAGCCAAGAACCAGCCAAGGGCCAGCCCAGAACCAGCCAATGGCCTGCCAAGATGCAGCCAAGAACCAGCCATGGGCCAGCCAAGATGCAGCCAAGGACCAGCAGAGGGCCAGCCAAGATGCAGCCAAGAACCAGCCAAGGGCCAGCCAAGATGCTGCCAAGAACCAGCCAAGGGCCTGCCACGAACCAGCCAAGGGCCAGCCAAGATGCAGCCAAGAACCAGCCAAGGGCCAGCCAAGAACCAGCCAAGGGCCTGCCAAGATGCAGCCAAGGGCCAGCCAAGGACCAGCCAAGGACCAGCCAAGGGCCAGCCAAGATGCAGCCAAGGGCCAGCCAAGGACCAGCCAAGGGCCAGCCAAGAACCAGCCAAGGGCCAGCCAAGGGCCAGCCAAGGACCAGACATTTTGAATGGCTATTACTGTAGGTAATATAATACTTTATGTTTGTCTTTATTAACTTAGAAATTGGACAATTTAACAGAAATGAACCAAACTGTTTTTAATATTAACGAATTAAGGAAGAGATGCTGTGATTGGTTAAAGTTTGAAGCAGGACGTAAAAGTGACATCCTTACCTTTCCCAGGTAATCACGTCTCTGAGAGAGTTTCAGCTGATATGTTTCTTTCTCCAGAGTCTTGAAGCTTCCACTGAAAGCCTTCCGGATGTCCGTCAGTTTAAATATGCACACAGCAGACTCTGGCCGAATGGACCTGGAACAGGTTCATCATCTTAATTTGTTCTGCAGAACTGGTGCTGTCTGATCAGTAGATCCCCTCCCCCCATTAGGACTATTAAATGGAACCTTACCACTGAGAGGAGAAAACACCATAAAACAGTGTCTCTGATGTGTCGGCGCCCTCTGGTGGCTGCAGGGTGAATATATCCTCCAGGATGTTAAATGGAAGTTGTTTTGGAAGCTGGCAGAGCAGAGAGGATTTGGCAAAAGATGTCCACTTCTTCTGCAAAGTCCTCTGCCCTCCAACATCATCCTGAGGAACCGATAGAGGGTTATTAGCTCACATCAGCCACCAGCTCGTGCATCACTTCAGGGTCTTTGGCACCTTGCAGACTTGAGCCACTCTGGGAATCTGAAGCTGGCGGACAAAGTTGAACTCTTTCCCAACTTCATTGAAGAAGATGTGGAGTTTTTTCTCTGCAGGATCCAACGAGGAGCTTACGAATGTTGGCTCTGAAATGCAGGAGGAGATCCCAGATGAGGAAACTGGGCTCTGGAAGCAGCCAAAAACAGAGCTGCGAGCTGACCTCTGCAGCTGAGCGATTTATATAGATCTGAGACGTTAAAGTCGTAGGGAAGCGGCTGATCCAAACGTTCCATTTCCCAATTCTCCCAGTGGTGCCCGACTTTA